CAATCACAATTATTCAATATTTTTAAATAAGCACATGAATAATATAGTGTAAATGTATAACTAAAATATATTGATAATTTCCTAATATGTTCAATATTCATATACTTAGTAATTATAATATTTTTTAGCTGTATATATTATGCTAGTTGTGTGTAAGTTATGCATTTTTATAAGTTAATACATCTTACACGCATCTTTAGGTTAACACTAATAATATTTTATAACGTATGTTAATTATAGTATGTGTAAAACGAGTTCAATATTTTGATGGTTGCTTATGTAGTGGCTCCATACAAGAGCATCGCAGGTATGTATATAGTGTGTACTGTGTAATTGTGGAAATTTAAGTTTGGGGTTAATTTAAATTCAACACTATTGATATTTAGTTTCGCTTAAATATTTTAAAGTTAGTGAGCTATGAAATGTTTTGTCACGTATTTTTTTTTTTTTTTGGCGGTTTAGTACCACTGTACCTGTCATTACTCATTATTACCTAATTAAATAAAATAAAATTTACATTAATTATTTTTCACTTGTTGTCTGTAAATAGTTTTTAGTTATTGTATTTAGTCTTCACGCGACGTTTATCGCAACAGGTTGTGTTTATTAAATCGTTTGTTCATCTAATACTGTCGTACGTGAATCTAAAGTTCATTGTATGATGAAATAATGCTAATAACTAGCATTTTACAAAATATTGATAAACGATTAGCCTTGTTATCCTATCTCTTTACGATGTAGAAACAAAAACAGATATGCATCACTCTCAAATTTTAATGATACAAATGACGTCAACACAAAATTTATTAAAATGGATATCGAAGAGGTAAAGTAAAAAATGTCTCCATTAAATTTACAATATTAACGACTATATTGATTCTCATACAAAACCTCGTCAATAATAGTTTCAAATTCCATTTTAACATCCACAGGAAGAATATTTTTTCAAAACTGAACTTATCAATTGTAGATAACTATTGTACTGTTATAAAATATTTTTCCATAATGATTATTGAAAATCATACGTATCAACTTCTGGAAGATAGAAATATTTCTGTAATAACAAGAAATTTATCAATTTTGATTACTGAAGTAAAAATTTAAGAAATATTATCAGTATTAAAATTCAACTAAACTTTAGTAATCCACCTACATAACCATCATAAATCACCAATCCCAATTATCGTTGCTATCCTGAATAAATCAGAGAAAAAACATTTACACACTCATCTTCAAAATTGTAAAAATAATAAATCTATTAATCATTCTGAAAATGTCTGTAAGCTACCATATAGATGCGTGAAATACCCAGAACAACACTGCTACTTCGTATGCACTAAAGATAAAAATAGTCCATCTACCTGCGTAAACTGCAGCGAAATCATCTAGCAAACTATGGATGTTTGCAACCTCATTTATAAATAAATTAGATATCACAGAAAAGTTGGTCTCATGGAAATACGCCTACATATCTAAAAGCTCAACATCTATAAAAATACAATTTGTTAACTTAAAAAGTGCCATCACATTTAACGCCTTAAATGATAACGTGACTAACAACTCACAAAAATTAAGTGAATTAAAAATTCTACCTCAAAATATTTTTTCATATACCTACAAAACCATCAAAATTTCAGAAATAATAAAAAAACTATCTAACCATAGATCAGCTGGATATGATTTAATCACCAATTCTATATGAAAGAACTCATAAAAAAAAAAAAAAACATCAGTTGTATTTATGATAGTTCTATTTAATACTCTATTAAAAAATTGATCTATTCTCCTTAGGATTAAAAAAGGTCACAGTAAAAATGATAAACAAATTTACTAAAAATAATACTGACTCAAAAATTAAAAGTCCATTAATTTATTATCATTGGTTTCAAAAATATTAGAAACAATTTTTTTTCCAGACTTATTAGTCATTTAAACATAACAAACAAAATTTCCTACTGTAAATTTGGTTTTAAATCAAAATATTAAACGACAATTAAACAACTTCTTTGAATTACAGAGCATATAAGTAATAGATTCTGAAAAAAAGGAACACACCGCACTGGTCTTTTTAAACACCGCTTAAGTGTTTGATAAGGTCTGGTACAAATTAAAATGCTTTAACACATCTACAGTTATTTTTAACACTATTAAATATTTTTTCTATTTTTGTAGTTTCAATTATTTAAATTAATAGTACTAACTTGGATATCAAAAAAGTTAATGTAAGTGTACTACAAGGATTCAAAATATCTCCATTATTTTTTAACGTATATGTACATAACCAACTTTCCTACATCAATAAACACGGAAATATCTCTATATGCGTACGATAGTGTTATGTATTTTAGTTCTGATAAAATTGAATTTTTAACAGAAAATATCCAAACTCATCTAGACAAAATCCAAAAATGGGCAAAAAAATGGAAAATTTTCTTCAATCTATTGAAAAGCATAGCAATTATTTCCACTCTACGCAGATAAAAAAAATGTATAATACTTTAAAGCTTAATGGACATAATATAGCGTGGTTTCATAATATTAAATGCCTTGGAGTAATATTAGATAAAATTTTATCTGAAACCCTGAAATATTATAAAATTACACCAAAGATACCAATGTTTAAAATTATTATATCTACTTATTAATTGACAAATTTCCCTGAGCTGGAAGTGTTCATTATTATTATTTACACAAATTATTCGTCCTCTACCACTATATTTTGTCCTGATTTGGAATTAATGTGTTAAAACTCATAAAAATAAAATACAAATCCTAAAATTCAAAATTGTCTGTGTGATTTCAAATGCATCATAGTTGTTTGAAATAATTCAGTGCACACAGAATTCAAAACATCAACTATCAAAAACTACGTAAAGGTCCTGTCAATAAGCTTTTTCAAAAATTTACACAAAGCAAACGATCTACAATACTTCGGGCTGAATGTTAGTCTTAATAGATGTAAACTCATTTACATGGCGTTTTAAATTAGCTCATTTAACTATACCTATAATTGTAATTGAAATTGTCTCGTAATATAACTGTATAATGTTAAAATTATTATTGTACTCTGTGTTAAATTTAAAACCCAGTAATTTTATTGTTTAATTAATGTTAACTGTTATATAAACGTTAAAAATTGCTATTTATATACCTAAGTTAGATGATATTTTAACGTTAGAAAAACTTTAAAATAATAATAACAATAATTAAGTCATTGTATTCTGTTTGTGCTATACACTTGCTTGAAATTTCTTTGAAGAATCGGGGAAAACAGACCATCAAATGAGAACTACTAGGAAATTTTTAGAAACAAAGAATAGAAATAACCAGTAGTTTTAATTAGTAGTTTGAACCAAATGAATTGAATCTTAAACTTAGACAATTAGAAAGAATATCGAATTTTAATAAATATAATTAATCTAGACTTAATGATACAAAAAAATTAAGCTAGGTTGGTATTATACTTAATTATAATAAAATTCAGAAAATTGAGTAACGTTGACAACTTAAACTTGGCCAATTATTACTAATATTACTAGTATCATAGGTATAGTTTGTATAATTTCTATTTTATTCTAAATAGAAATCGTAAATGTTTTGGTAGTCACCTGTAGAGCCTATATTATAACTAATGATATTAGTAATTATATTACTCTGTATGTATAAATGATTTTTACAGCTGTAGGGACTATAATATGATTGAATTACATTCACGTTAATTAATTTTCAGCAGAAATACGTGTTGTATGAATACATATTATAGATGTTGATTTTCATGGATTAATTTGTTACGAATTTATAATAAAACGAACGATATTATACGAAATCGACATGAACATCGCCATGATTGTATTGCGCATCAGAAATAAGAAAAAATAAAAATAATAAAGTTAATAATAATAACTGTAGACAAAAAAAATCAACCTTTGCATATATTTTAAACAAATTGTGTGCCATTAAAATATAATACGAAATGATCTAAAAGTCTTCATCTTATTTAAAAAAATCATATTCATATTAAAACGTAAATTCAGGGATGGAGGCGGGGGTGAAGTAAAAAATATTTTAAAAGTAATGAATTTTTAATATAGTGTATTAGAAATTATTGTAAATATGCTTCCACTGACCACTTGCATACATTTTATGGTATTTTTTTTATTTGTCCATTATAAAAATAAATAGCGGCAGTTCATGAATTATTAAAAATATTCACGAGACATGTTTATCAAAAATGAAATAAATAAAACTTAACAAAAATAAATTTAACTATCTTATTTTTAAAATAATACGTGCAATTTATGGTTGCTGAGCTACATCGATTTATAATTGGATGAAGACTTTTGAATAAAATCAATATAACTCTGTTTATAGTATAAAAGCATGCGTATTATACGAGCTCTTGTAAACCTGCAGGCTGCAGCAGTACACTGGTAAAAAGATATTATTTTTTTTCGTGTTGGATAACGATGTGCGCAATTACTCGGAATACTTTACAGTAGTGAATTGGAGGGACATTTGGGGCACAGATATTATACATTGCAGACCTGCTTACATTATAATATGTATTATGGTAGAAAAGCCGTTGATCGTGGATGTCAGGAGACGGAGTCTAGTAGCCAATCAAATAAATGATTTGATATATATATATATATAAAAAAAGAAAAGAAAAAACGTTAAGCGCAAACGTTATGATTCGTCTCACCGGACTTCGGACATTTTCCGGGCGAGTACCGGCTATTAACATTATGACCATCAATTTAAGTCGTTGACAAAATTCGTGGTGTGATGTGTGTGGAGGAGGGTTGAAAGGTCAAATGTAAACGTGTTATATGTCGAGTCACCAATTACGTAAGACTAGAGTAATTACCAAATTAAATGAGACTTTTAGGATTTCTATACCCACTGTTTTTAGTCGGCGGGTTTTTCATACACTACGTAGGTATACGTCATTGTTAAGCAAACACGAACTACCTCGATAACGATGCTATGCGATTACTTGCCTTCGATTACAAACACTCCACTGTTGTCAGTGCTGATGATTAGTCGGCTGTCAGCCCACGAGTCCCCGCACACGATGTCGTGACCAAAGTCAGGGTAGAAGCACTGCGGCTCCCAGGGCGCCCGCTTGAAGAGTCCCGTGGTGGCGAGGCTGGTGGGCGCATCCCCTTTGACGATGGTATCCAGTTTGAGCGCCTGGCCGATCCGCACGAACTCCACCTGCCGGGCCTCTTCCTTGCGCCGCGAGCTGCGTGGCGGATCTGGCAGTACGTCGCTGAACGCTCGTCTGTTCAACATCGCCTGCGACAAACGCGTATACGTTACAATATTTTCGATACGTCCTTATACCTATTATTAACAGTGTTTCGGTGATAGTTTCCGATAACCGTTACGGCTTTCGAGGCACTGTGTAAAATATAATATATTTTTTCAACACGTTTTTAACAATTCAACGCGTGTCGTAAAATACATATTTCGTCTCGGTCATAACTATAAAATATGTATAGTTCAACTTATGTCTCGATCCCTCACAAATACCCCGTTCAGTACCCGAGAACGGGCATCTTCAATCCCTCGGGGGTATTAAAAAAAAAAACATCTTTGCGCCACCACTGCGTTCAACATGATATATCAGCAAACAGTCGTTATTGTGCAGTGATTTAAAAAAAATCATTTTTTTTTTCACCATGAAAATATATTATTATTATATCGTAATAGAGTAATAAAAATTATCGTTGAAAGTTGCGAAATAAAAATAACGATTTTAAAACGAGTTTGCGAATAACTTATATGCACCTGTCATACATAATATAAACATACGGACCAATAGGAATATTTAATTGAATTCTTATTCGAGATTAACAAAAATGTAATGGTATAATTTGCAGTTTTAATTTATTTTTAATATGTGCGATGTAAAAATCTAGAAATATATCTTAAACTTTATCGCGGAAACATAATGAAGCATTCACAAACCTTCTAAAAATAATTTTTGTATGATTTATTTTCACTTAAGATTTGTTATGTAAATAACAGATTTGTTATATTTAATGTAAACATTTAATGCAGCAGAAGTTTTTATAAGATCATAAAAATAAATTCTTACATCATTTTTATTAATGGAAAATGTTTTCGTAAATTTTGTGGACAAATATGGCGTTTTGGTATAGCGCTGTATTTAAATGATCTCATTTAAAAACCATTCAAGTTATTATAGTCTAAACCTTTAAATTTATATTAACCCGTCGTTGGTGACGCTATGAGTATTTTGCTCACACATTTAGTATTTTTAGAACCATTGGTTTATATTTCATTCGATTTTGACAATATTATATAAATGTTTCATTGAGTTATTCACGAAAATAAATACGGAAAAACATTAAATGTTATAAATAAACTAACAAAGTTATTGAAGTCCAATGTTGCCGTACATGTAATAATAACGTATAATATAGGTATTAGCGTTGTTGTTGTGCTCGCACGTCACTGATCGCATTACCATATTATCTAGTTATTTTATTATTATATTATTATATTATTTTATTTTATTATTATCTCATTATATTGTTTTATTATTATGCTTTAGCAGTTCAATATTGATATTTATCAATACCGCAATATATAAATTTGTAGGCTCATACGTGTATTTTAATAGGTGAGCATTTCGCTAACACATCACTATCGGTGTTATAAAAATAACGTCATCAACGACGGATTAATATCTCTGTGTTGCTAATGAAAATCCAAGGAATATAACATACACATTTTTTAGTTAAAGTAAATTATAATAGTGATAGCATTTAATACATGATTATATATCTAATATTCTTGTTATATCTTACAAATAAAAATATTACATGATGAATTATGCCGTATACAGTGAAATTGTTTGTGTAAAATCATTTATGCTATGTATTAAGACTAAACTAAATTCAGTAGTTATCTGATGGTGATAAACCAAATTGATCGAATATGAATAAATAATAACTTTTTTTTTTTGTCACTCTCTTTGTGTTTGTAATATTTAATTAGTTATATTTCTTGATAACATTTTTTTTTTTTTTTTTTTTAATGCAATAAACTCATATTTCTAGTTTATGAACATTTATTACACCTATGATTATTGGAAAATTCGTCTATTTCAAGTTTATATTTTTTATTTTTAAATATTTTATTACTAAAAAGCCCCCTTTCCACAAAACAATTTGCTCGGTAATGGAAATTTTGCAAATCCGTCTCTGTGGTGCACAATATAATACATCACATGACCAAACCCGAATCGAACAATATTATCATCACAATAACCATACTGTTCATTCGGTTTAGCGTATGATAAACCTACGTGCATATAGCAATGTAATTTATAATATATTATAATATCATATCTATATATTATAAACTGTAAGTGTATCGCGTTGTACTCGCTCGCATGTTGTGTTCGTGGTCGGTCGTTTGGTTATCGTTATTTTACCTACATAATATAATTTATATTATTATTCTCCTTCACCAATGTACATAATTTTATAGCTAACGGCAAGACGCATTCTACCCACATGCCATGAAAATTAAACGAACCGCAGGAAAAATAAATCCAACAATGTCATGCATGATTATGTATTATTGTACCTACCCGAAAGAGTGGCGGCCAACGTTGCTGACGGCTGGTGTCAAAATAATATTATTAATTAGTAATTACCTCAACGTCAGATCCAATAAAGAAATAAAATATTTAAAAAAGTTTGTTGTAGATATTATATGATACAATATTATTGTGCGCGTAAAAATATGAAGCTATATTATAATGTTATTATATAAACAAACTCCTATTATAGCTCGGAAACGAGAATTTGAAATTATGACTTCCTATTATAGTGTTGAATTTTAGGAACCCATATATACTTAAGTTACTGGGCTGATTTTATTGTTATAAATTGGTAATTTATAAAATTGTATTATTATGGGTATAGTTAAATTTTTTAATTCGGTATGTCAGGGCATTTTACATTGTTTGATTTTCAGTGTAAATTAAATAATGAAAATATTAAGAACTTATGAAAAAAGTTAGCACACAACTTGTGTATAAGTTATTTCTTAAGTTGTGCGTAGTAACATTCCAATTAGGTACCTACCTGTATCTTTAAAGCTGCAATTAGCGCGGATAATGGTTCAGATAAATACGTACCTACTACACAGACACGATTACCAGTGTAAACCCCAGAGTTCACTTCGATAAATTCAACAATTAATCTAAGCTTCACCTTTTAAGACATTCAAAGCTTTGAATATATATATATATATATTTTTTTTTTGTAGTAGGTATTTATTTTAAATTGGAGAGAGTATTTATGATACAAATGAAAAACTACCTAATTATTTTCTAATATGTATTATTTGTAACCTGTATATAGATTATGTGTACCTAAGTATTATATGTTTTTACAATAAAAATTGAAACACAACCACGTAAAAGTGGATACCTACTTAAAACGCAACTAAATAGCTTATAAAATATACATGAATAACGTGATTGAGTAGAGCAATACATTTTTATTATTCTAAGTGAATTTAGTAATTATGGTGATGTATCAATTATCAACAAATTAAGTTGGAAAAATGTGTAGGTATATATTAGCTGTGTTCAGACGAACTTTTTTTAGTAAACTGTTCTTGGATTATTATGAGGATTAAAAAGGTATATCATAAAATACGCCTTGTTTCTTATTATAGGTAGGAAATGTAACTGTTAACTATACTCAAAATCAATATTCGAATAAAATAAAAAGATGAAAAAATTAGATAGTTTGTAAATGAATAATCAGCCATATATTGATAATCACCACTCAAATAGGTACTTTGGATGTTAAATTACATAAAAAGCAAATCTGATGACCACGTATTTTTTATATTAACAAGTATCATAGTATCTCTCGATGAACTAGACGTATATATATATATTTATATAAAAAATCGAAACTTTCTAAAAAATGTCCTTAGAATTATAACGAATGCACGTGGTTCATATGTAACAAAATATTATGTAATAGTAATTCGTGTAGGTATACATTATACAAAGACCTTCATAGTAGAAAATTTAAGATAATTCTAAGTGTCATGGCTGTATATTTCTATAGTTCACTACTTAGATTAGTAGATTAAATTCACTTAAATTTACATTACGTCAATCATCTCAAAGACGTTTTATACTTAGTCATTTACACTATCTTATTAGTTAATCATCCTATTTTATGTTAATCTTAATCCTTTAATTAATTATTTCTTCTCTTCACTATTCAATTATATTATTTAAAATATCTAATTGAAATTACGTTTAGGTAATTTTGCTATTGTTATATTATTGTTTAATTATTACCAAGTCAAATAGTTATAAATTTAATTATTCGTATTTAGCCATTGATGTAGATTGTTCATACAGGAAAAAAATGTTTTATTTTATTAAAATAAAAAAAGAAGTAAATAAATATAAAAATAGTAAAATACCAATCAACCAATATATACATATATATTATATATATTACATGCAATATGTGTCAACTTTATACATGTATATTATCTGTAATAGATATAATATTAATTACCATGAATATTTTAATATGTTTATCATTATAAATTAAGAAATATGAAGTTTTATTTATTTGTATTAATATCTTGTTTACTTAAATATATTTTTATAATCATTTAAACTAAATTTATTATTATTTATAAAAGTATTCTAAGACAGTAAAAAAACATTAAATTTATATTCATTAAATTATTTATGCAAGTTAAAGACAATAATTATTTATCGTATTAATTTTATAGACATAGTAGTAATATTAATAATAAAGGAGGTGCATTTTTTATATTTGATTTAATTTTTGCTTGTGCAAAAACAGTTTGAATTACATGAAGAAAGCTTTGTTCTGTATATATGTAATAATTTCTCTATATATTTTTTATGTTGGTATATAGTCAATAGTTGTACGTTAATAACGTCAACCTTATGAGTTATTCATGAGGCACGAATATGTTAACATATCAAAAGTATTACAATTTTCCTCAATTTTAAGTCATGAGCTTATTTATATTTAAGTTGGCGACACAAAAACAATTGGATAACATTTTTTAGTTACTTGTGGTTTACCAAATAATATATTCATAGTTAAAAAACTATAATATTTACCAGTCAGTTCATAGTAAATATGTCAGTTTAAAGTGTTTTAAACTATTTATATAGATTAAACATATTACACCTTTAATTGCTTACTTGTTAACGGGGAAAAAAAAAAACTTTAACGAGGGGTAGAAATTGTGTAATCTCTCTCTGTCGATAGTAAAATATTTAGGTTATCTTATTTATGTATGTGTGGTGAATCGTGTACATTGTGGAGGCTTTTAGCACCATAAAAATACTCATCGATATTTGATGGTAATAATTATTAGTTTCAATAAAACTTAATATAGCACATAAATAAATTGTGATTAACCAAGTATGCCATCCACATGTTTTTTTAGTCAATGAATCTATTGAAATTTAGATTTTTGGGATTTTTTTATTATACTAAATATAAATATTTTTATATAAATACCATATTATCAAATTATTGAGATTTTTTATACTATTTAAGAAGTATTCCGTTTCAATGCATAGCCCTATTTTTCAAATAAGAAACATACATTTTAATAAGGATAGTACAAAAATATAAGTTAGGGATAATATCATGGATTAAAAATACTACCTATATAATTTTTATAAGTTTAGTACTTATGTATTGTGATTATTTTTACAAAATATAAGGTTTTTAAAAATCTTAAGGTTTTAAATTGAGTAATATTAATTTCAAATTTTTCAAATCACCTTAGAGCTCACATCTTTCAAATCAACCACCATAAAACTTTTACATATATATCCTCAGTAAATTAAGTTAATTTTAAGTAACTCAAAAAATATTTGTCTGAATTGACACATCAATGTTTTTAGAAATTATTCACTAAATTAGGAAACTATAACAGAAAAGAGGGGTTTGTGAGTTTTTCTGATATGAAAAACAGACTTTGTATTTATATAAGAAACTTTGTTAGTAGTACAAAAATCTTGAGAATTTTAAAATACGATCTCCAAGTATATTTAATAACTTCAGTAATCAGATATTGAATAATTGCATTATAAAAAAAAAAAGTAGAATAACCATGCGTGGTGAATCACTCTATAAATACATATACTAAATACTAAATGTACATATATTTGATACCACTACTACAGTAGATGAATAATTCAATGTACAATTATTATATTTAATATATTTTATAATATTTAGTACTAGGGTAACTTGGTAACACATTCGTTAGAGGTTCATTTGCTGGCAAACAGTCCAAATGTTCCACGAATTTTGTTATGTCTATATACAATATTCGATGTTATTTCATCGTAGTGGTTATAATGAAAATATCAATTTGACCGACCAAAATATCGACAACGCTCGCGTAAAATATTTCATCGCACGACTGGTAAACGTTGACGAGTGGTGCACTTTAAGGCCGGCACTATACTCGGCGTTTTTCGTCCAATTCCAAGTCCATTGTTTTATAATAGAGTAGCTATACACGATGGATGTGATACATCAGCGAGCTTATGTTTTAGCGAATGCATGCCGAAATAATAAAAATGCAAACTTCTAGTTTCATATTGTTTTAAATTAAGAGAGTGGATATACTGGTGACAGAAGACGCCACAGTATATGTGGCAGAAAATGGTGTATATAGCCCAAATATAAATTTGTAATCACTTTACCTCATTATTGGATATATTATTAACCATATTTAGCGTGATAAAATGTTTCTATTACTTATATTACAGTAGTATCAGGAACCTACAAAAATATTCAATTATTATTTCATGTAAAATATTTTTGTATAAATAATATGTATTATAATTTATTTATATATAAATATTATTTATGAACTTATTTGTAAAAGCAATAGAATATTATTTTAAGTTTGGATAGAAGAGTGCAAATTGTATTAGTTTTGTAATAGCGTTAATCCGTTTTAAAGTAGTATACTTTTATAAAAATGTTCTTAAATAATATCAATTTATTAGATTGTAGTATAGTATTGAGGGCCAGATAAGATTATTTTATTTTAATATTATGAAAAAAATCAGTTATTAAATATATATTTAATAATAACTCTAGTTGACATAACTGTTATGATAATAAAAATGTGCTTGTATATTTGTGTTAAGTAAATATAAAAAATAGGATATGGACATTTTACAGACATTTTCAACTTTAATTAACAGTTATTTTTATTTTACAAAAACGGTTGCAACTGATACTGCAACTATTAACTTACTTAAACTAGAAAATAATCTGTAATTATATATATATATATATATATATATATCACAATAGTTATGTTTATGTAATCGATTGGCTATATAACTATTATTGATCATTCCTTAACTGTAGAAATAATTGGAGTCGGTGATGTTTACGCAAAAAATTGAATAGCATACTTATGACACTCATATATAAGTATCAATTATATCAATTATAATAGGTATATCAAAAATTTACCCCTTTACTAGAATCCGATATGTAGTCTGAGTACAGGTCTTTAATGAGCATGTCAAGTGTTCGTTCTCGTTTTTTTGCAAATGTCGGCGTATTGAACGTGGCTTTTTCACCATTTATCACTGAAATAAAAATATATGAATAAAATGAAAATTCACTGTTAGTGGAATTTTTATCGCAATAACAGATATTGTGATAAAATTAATAATTATTGTATATAAAATGTGATTTTAGTTTTCTATTGAATTAATTATTAAATGATTAAATATATAATATATTTATATTTTTCATAAGAGATTTCTATTACCAAACAAAAATTGAATATGTACTATAACTACTAAGAAACCAATGTAATTTGTTATACGTATTTGTGTAAATATTATAGTATTCGCTGTAGATCTTCATTGGTATATATTTTTCAATCATCCGAGTGTGTTGATTTTATCGACAGTGGTGTGAAAAATATTAAATTTCCTATTTAAAACTCAAAGAGAACGAATAGAAAAAATTAAAACTACTTTAATTGTATTTGAATATCTGAAATTTAATCTATACAATGTAAATTATTGAAGAATATTGTGGAATTCATTTTTTCTTTTTTTGTCAATTTCAGTGTTATGAGTATATATTTATGTTATTTTAATTTGTACATCATTTATGCAGTATTGTAAAAGAAGTTTAATATAAATCAAGAAAATAATTTAAAAAATGTATTGATAATTTTTAAATAATAATAACATAAACTAAATAGATATTTATATTATAATATTTATAATTAACTAATGTACACACTATTTGCATTATCAAACAAATTCTATCAGTAATATATAATATAATATTAATTTAATACGTCGAAAATGTTTATATATTACAAAACTATAATCATGTAAATTAAATAACAGTATAAAAATCACGATAAATGTCTTTAGTTATTTGTTATCTCATTGTCGTTAGATCAAGATAATAATATAATTTTATGGTCGTAAAATATTACCAATGCAAATATCATAACATAAAAAAAAATCTTAATGCTTCCAACAGTATATTTCACTTAACATTTTTATTTATCGGAGAATTTGTATTTTAAATAACGTATAAGAATACTAAAACTGTTCTCGAAAAGTCATGCTGCAGTTTGTATTAACATTTTTATATATACCAGTATGTAAGATCAACACGACATTTTTATCGTTTATGCCTTTATGGTAATAATTTTGGATTTGAATACGGTAAAGTATACATTATATGTATACTAAATACAATAAAATCACCTATTTGAATATTATATTCTTATCATAGTTTTAGATGTAAGCAATATGTTTATAGAATATCAAGGGATGCAAGAATAATATAAAAAAATTTAAATTATAAAAACAAACAATTTGATAAAATATATTATTAGATAGCTAATAAACTAGGGATATCCAATGGTAAATTTTCCAATGCAAAAAAAAAAAATTGTATTTCTTTAAATCAGAATTAACTGTACTTAACTAATTTTCTACATATAATCATTGTTCTTCAAATTAAATACATTTTTTGTAGTGTGGCACAAGTTTCTTTGAACTCTGTCGGTAAAAGAATATTTTTGCGGAATTAATTGATAATTTTTATAGAGACTTTGTTTCACTTCTGAATGATTTTTGTTTAGAAAAGTTTTTAATTTTGGAAAATAAAAAAAAAATTAATAAAAATCAGATTTTTTTCAGCAGGAAATATTTTCTTGAAAAATAACTTTTTAGAAGTGAAAATGAAGTCACCATTGAAGTTACGACAGGTTCTGTAGAAATTACTTGTCTTGTTACCCTGAATATTTATAGAAACTTGTGTCACTTTATAAAATATGTACAGAGAAAAACAGTGATCATGTTGAATTTTTTTTAGCAGTCAAAAAACAATTATTGCTTACTTTTGACAATGAGAAATTCCCTGAACTCTTGAGGCACTTTAAAGACCGGAGGACACGGTAGCGATGGACCGAATAGTGGTACAGATTCTTCGGAGTAAACCACCAGTTTATAGCTGTTGTCCGACGAATCATATGCAACTAACGCAAAAACATCTGGAGAAAATATTTATAGGAAAATATTTGGTTTGAAGACAAATCAATATCTGTATATTGTGTGTGTGTGTTTTTTTATGAGTTATACAGATAATATTTTATACATATGTAAGAAGTGGAATAAAATTAAAACAAAAAAATATTTGCTTGATAACATTTATTTTTTTTTATAAATATGAAGGTATATTATTATAATGACATAAAACCTTAGTTTTAATATGATTTGTATCGCCAAGGACGTAGATAGTTAGTTTATAACGATTAATATTTTTAAAGGATACGTGTAAACTGTGACTTGATAAACGCGGGGTTGAATTGAGACATTTGTGTCGCACCCCCGTCCACGTACACAATGTTGACAATGTCGTTTCCAATGTGACGTTTGCGTTCCACCTGTTCAAATTGACAGGATGACAACCATTATAATATGATTATAATACATGGGGAAGTAGCAGTAGTGTTTATAGTGTTTATTTCTTATGTATATTTGTTTTATTTTCTTGTGTTTTTACTTCACGCTCATTCAGTTGTCGTGGTATAGGTACCATAATATTAAATTATCATGTTTACCTGCTGTCGGTTGTCCTTCGAATACGGCAACATCGTGGATACGTGAAACATGATTTCATGTCCTTCGTAAATCGTGTACACCGAATATTCGCCCGTCATATCGCCTATTTATAAAATTATATATTATATTCTAATATACCGTAATGTAGATACATAATCATGAAAAACAATAATAAAAATAAGCTGTGGAAATTATTTTGACTTCCGCGGGTGAGTAAAGTGCAAGTATATATTTTAGAATTTAAGAACCATGAAAAATACACATAGAAGGATATTGCACACATTTACCTTTTACGTCCAATCCTCCTCGGTATTTATCCCATCCTTTTAGACGTACTCGATTGCCCAATAACGATATGAACTGATTGAATTCCTCGCTGCCATTTTCTACGAAAAAAATATTATGATTATATTATATATTAATTTATAATACATTACCTATAATAAATGTGTATAGACATTACAAATATTATTCTAAATTGGATTACACATTATAAACTGGTGTAGACAAGCTATATATTCAATAAAATTGTATATGAAAAAATGGCGGGTGACACTGAAAAAGTGACTAGATTAAAATAAATTATAGAATTCAATTAAATTAATTGATTATTATCGTTAGTCAGTAAAAATATGACAGTTTGATGAATAGATGAATATAATATCTAATTTAATTTAAAATGGATCATCAGTTTCATTGAGTAGTGATATAAAAATTGAAAACAATAGCAATATTTTAAATAATGGTTCTTCCACTCTCCGCATAAACTAGAAACTAAATAAAAAAATAATGCAAATTATTTACCCAAAAATAATATTTGGACCTCAATTCAAGTGATTAAGTGTTGCTTATACGTAAATAAATTCACTAATTAAATTTAAAATTAAATTCGTTGTATATACGATTACCCGCAGTTATTAATGTTTCTGCACGTTGTTTTTAGCGATTGATAGTGAACAAACTTTCAATCGAATTTTAGTCTACTGGTGGTTAACTTTGGTATATATAAAGCGTTAATGATGCTAATGCCTAGCTATGAACCAATCATTTGACATTCTATTTTAGAGTTTAAATGTTTGTATAATTTTAGTTAAATTTTTTGTAAAGTTAACTTAAAATATTTTATGTCTTTTTTGTTTACATCCTCATATTTGGGTGTACGTATAATTTATTTATTTATATTATACTTAAATTATTTATCATAAAAATGATAATTTATGTGTAATTAAATTATATATGAGTGGTATATTTTTAGGGGGGATATATATACGAGAACGCATCGTTACGTAAAACTTTATGTATAACACGGGTTAGTAAGTGTATATTTTTATTCGTTAAATTAAATTTAAAATATATAATAATTAAAAATATGTGAATTATCGAGGAGAATATTTCAAATATCTTGGAATTTGTTTTCTAAAATATCTACACTTTGGACTGTTATTTACATACAAATGCATGGATGGGGGATGATTTCATTTCATTGAATTTCCTTTACCTCTTTATATGTGCATACACCTTAAATACACAAAAATGTGATATTGAATACATAATCCTCAGGAGAAATGCTTCATGATGATATTAAAATATTACCATCGAAGATATTTATCAAAATGCGTCGTTTTGAATTTTCGTACCATGTATTCTATTTATGCTTGTATGAATAAAGTAGGTATAAACATTGATTTTAATAAATTACATTAAACTATGTTCATCGAATTTCAATGTTAATGTACAAAGTTGTATAATCAGTTTATTGAATAAAAATGTATACTTTATTTTTATGTACATGTGTATTATAATATGAGAAATTCTTGTATAAACATTATTTACATATAAGTACGTATATTATTTTAATAGAAACGATCACAGTTAAAATATTGGAAGATAAATTCTACAGTGCATAAAAATAACATTTTTACTGTAGAATGCTTTGGCATTCACTGACCGTGATAAAAACGAGTATTTTAGTATAGCAACAATTATAATGATGAAGTTTTTCTCTGTATTTATTTATTTTTTTGTTTTATTGACACTTGAATAAGAGTCTCATTTTTGCTGACGAGAAAATACCAATAACACGAAGTTTGAATTTCAATGGATATTTTTATGAATGTTTAGGAGCGAATATGGTCGGGTAAACAATCACAGAAGGGTTAACGACACAAAAATGAACGAATATCATTCAAAAGTCCTTTTAAAGGGCGAAAAATATCTATGTGTATATAATATATATTATAAATATATAAAGAGGATCAGAAATCTTACGTTTTTGAGGGTTTGAATTTATTACGTGAAAGTATCTGTAAATCCTAGGTTTTATTTTTATGACGTCGTCACATTTATCTCTTTTTACATAGTTTTTTTTTTTTTTTTTTAATAAAAAAAAATATTGGTTTATATTATTTAAAATAGCACTTATAGCAGTGTTTTATCATATCAGTTAATTTTTATTTTTTTTCTACCCGTTATTTGACGGTGATATGAGTATGAACCAAATAATACATGATGATTTACTTTTTTTTTTAAATTTCTTACCAGTTATCACTTTAATATAATCATTTTTTTGTCATCCAAATAATTGTCAAATCGAATTTTTTACACTTCGTGAGTTAGAATGTGTAAGCCATACTCTCAGAAGTATACAATATATACCTATTTACCTTTAATCTCCCAACTATGTCGTTCCGATTACTTTTTATAGTTATCGGTGCCGAAATAGTATTACTGAATGAGGTTTAGACTTTTATAGTATAGAATATAAATCATGATATTTATTGATGATTTTTATAGCAAAAAATACAAAAACATAATAACTATGTTTATTAAACGTTAACCAAAGCGATTAGAACAGTTATTTTTTTACGAATATAAAATTTTGAAATATAATTAAAAATATGTAAGTAAACATTTATGTCTTAATGTAATGATTAAGAAGATATTAAAAGATATTAAAAATAAAAAAGATAAAATTATTTATTTTTTTTACATAAAAAAAGTCACTGATAAACCCATATTTATTAAAGAGGTAAATAATAAACCTTAGTATTACAGATTTTGTTTATCAAAAAGTATACTTTTAATACATTCGTTTAATTTTATTCAAAAATATAGCATAATTTTAATATTATACATTATGTAAGAAACATAGTTTGTTAATTAATAATTAAAATTTATAGAATAATCACAGTAAGTACTAAAATCTGTTGTATCATTTGAGTCATATTTACAACAATTTGAAAATATAATATTAACTTAATACGTTGGAACCCTCACTATTTCTAATAAATAATATAGTGTTAAAATCACAGATCACAGTTGGTTCAAGTTATTCACCCTTAGTTCCTTTGTACCATTAAAACCACATAAATCTTAAACAATATATTTTAATTGATAATACGTATAGCTTAATAATGGATTATTCTTAAGTGCAGTAAGCACTTTCAGTTGTATTCCACTAAAGCGCAACATAAATTATTTTCGTATAACGTTCAATGACAAATAAATTAAATTAATTTAGTCTTACATTATTATTTCTGTTCTTATGTTTATATAATAGATTAAAATGTATAAACTCTACGAAATCGTCAGTTACAGGTACATATTAAACTTAATAAGTACACTTTATAGTGTATCTCATCAATACTATTAGATATCTAAATAATTAACCAAATAATAAATCTATTTAAGTTATCAAGTTTTAAGTTGATGTATGACTGTTATTTCAAGAATTACAATAAAACCTTAGTCAATAATATTATTAATATTAGACTTGTAGATTTTGGACGTTTTACTAAAAACCATAATTGTGATAATAAGTTCTCAGTTTTAATTTGATACAGAATGAAAAAAAAGCATATAGAATGTATAAAAATATATTTTTTATTTGATTAAATTGTAAAAACGATAATTTTTGATTATTGGAAAAATCCAGTAAATCACATGTATCTTACACTCGTATATTTTTTATATTCCAAAATACTATGTCAGTTTAAATTTTTAAAAATATTTTAATTTTTTTTAAATTATTCAAACAATTGCTTTTCACAATCGTCCGACGTTATTGCCAATTATTACATATACTTATAGAGCAGAACATTTGTACTGACAGTACTACGTAGAATCAAGTTATTAGAATTTACTATAGGTTCTACGTAAATATTTGTTAAATCATTTTTTGTTTGAACAAAACAAAATTGTTGTTGAAGTATTTATTTTATTTTATTATTTTAAATTTTTATGAAAATAGTTTTATTTTGATAAATTTTGTAACTTTTAATATATTGCTGTATGAATCTTAAGGTATTTTGGTCTTTGCAGGTTAAACAACATTTTTATTAGGTGAATGAGTAAAAATTGTGCATGATTTGAATATATATAATATTCACTCATAACTGAAAAACGTAGGTAGAATATATGTTAAATAGTTCTATTGATATGAACATTATTGAAAATAATACATTAAAAATAAATATTAAACAGAGTAACAGTTGTATAATAAGTATGGACTATGGCTGAATTATTAAAGGCCAAGAAAATTAATCAATATTATAATATATATAAGATATAAAAGTGGATTAAAATGATATTTTAATTATAAACAGCTCTGTAACAGGAATAAATAAAAATGAAACGAACAATTAGTATAACGAATATTGTTTTTTTTTTTTTTTTATTGAAATCGAAATGACGTGTTTTAAAAGATTCTTATATTTCGAAAAAATCGAATACAAAAACAATCGTTGCTAAAGCCCAGTCTTAAATTTAAAGACGAAAATTGTAACAATATGTCATATTATGACAAAAATAACAACGGTCAAAATGAATGGTGAGAGAAAAGGTCAAGAGAAAGACTCTAACGCAGATAGTTGGACAACTGTATTTATAAAAAGACATGGTACTTGGTGAATGGACTGAGTGAAACGCAGTATATTATATAGAAAGAAGGCGTGTGTGTATATGGTTTTGTAGGTGAAAAGCCTATAAATAGTCCATGAACTGTAGAACAAAGTTTCCAAGAATATATATATGTAGGTATATATATAGCATATTGTATTATTATTATTATTATAAAACCAAATAACTTTTTACTTAATGTACAACATAAATTCTTAATATTTTATTTTGATATATTAAATGCACATTCATTTCAATACATATTTTAATGTTAAGTAACAAATTTTCATAATAATTTAATACCACCAATTCATGAATAATAAGTTTAGATTTTAGATAACTTTAAACATAATTTATTGACTGTGACTCCATAGTCGTATTTCACAGATAACCAATAAAAGATTCTTGAAAAATATATTAGTATAAATTAAAAATTATTTGAATCAATTGGTTAATTGATTGTAAAATTAATAAAATATTGTTTATTGATCCAGCTACTGGCATTTCTGGATAAATTGTTGATACTATTTGAGAGCACTAGTTTTAATTTTATATGTTAAAACAAGATAATATTATGCTTGGGTTTATGATATGATAAATGTTAATTAAATTATTTTAAATATATCGTTTTGAAATAAAATATAATGAATAAAACTTTTGATAGACTATTTCTTTCTTCAATAAGTTTTTGATTGGTATTAAAAAGGACATAATTGAATTGTCCAAAGTTTAATTATAGGGCTTTAGATAAAACCATCGGGTTCTAATCCATTTTTAAACTATTTTCAGTAAAATATTTTTGTATGAGCTTTTAAGTAGGTAGTTGAAAACTAATTCGGTCACATTTCTAAGCATTAAGCCATTTATATTTATAATACCATATCTATACATAAGATATATTAACTTATAGTTTATTTAATATTATTTATGAACAAGAAATATTAGTAGTAAAATATCTTATCGAAGATATTGTACAGTATTCTGAATATGAATGTACCTATTGAATTATTTTCAAATTAACAACAAAAATTGTTATTTGTATTTTGTTGAAAAATAATAACATTTTAGAAATAGTCTAGAGTAGTATAATGCTTATTTATAACAATATGTATAATTTTTTTTTTTGATTTAAATTTTTTGTAAACTGAAAAACCTATTATTATATTGGAAAGTAAAAAAAAAAAAAAAATCAAAAGTCAATTATTATTTAGTGCTGTCGACGTGAATAGAAACTTTTTTAAAAAATATATGCATAATATTGTTATTAGAAAGTAACTTCGGACCGACACACGTGTGTCGAGTCCATTAAAAGTATACGTCGAGCTTATAACGAGTCCATACATACAGAATCTATATAATAATGTATTTAAAGTATATGCACATTAATGTATATAATATTTCAACAAAGTTATTGAAAAAAAAAAAAAACATATGTAGAATATTACACGTATTAAATTTAGTAAACGAAGTGTGTCAAAGCAGCAATGCTATGAAATAATAACTTTGTAAAATGTCATATTTCATTTTAGTAAAATCAATTTATTTTATTTTTTCTTACTCATGTATATTTTATTGATACTTTCGAAATTTTAACTATAGTTGCAAATCATTTCATTTAATGTCAGATTGTATTATAAAAAAATGCCCAGAAGAGGCGTTTTAATACTTGAGAAGGTATTATTTTTAAAGTTTATACCACCAAAGTCGATTTTTTGTAAATGTAAGCAGAGATAGAAAACTTTTACATTTCTTGACTACTCCACGTATGCTTAAACTTTAAATAACTTATAATTAATAATAATATTTTGCTCAATATTAGTTTTATATTTATATCAATTTCAAAAAAATTCAATCAACTTAAAAAATAAATTGAATGTGTTGACAATAAAACATGTAATTCAACGAAAAAACAGCCAATTAAAAAAGTTTATAATAGTTTTTAAGTGATCCGTAAAAAATGTAAAAATTATTGGATTAACTCTATACAAAATCACGTTTGATGAAATCAAAACATTTTGATATTATAGTTGGGGTTTCGTGAATTCGTAAAACTTTAATTTATGATTGAAATGCATGAAAAAAATGGAACTGTATGACAGTGGTGTAGCTAAATTGCTTATCTAAGACGCCGTGTTAAAAATAATTCATATGATAAATTCTGGATAAATAGATTTAATAATCAATGCTGGGACAAATTTATGTTTTATTATAAAAGAGCTTAAGTTATTTGAAATTATCCTTACCGTTGCTTAACATCTCATCATCGGTTAGTTGGCTTGGTTTGGTGTACAACACGCCAAATTTGAAATTTACTGATCCTTCTTGCTCTTCCAAAAGCAACAAATCCTGCATACAAAATAATTTAAGAGGTCATCGATTTTTAAATATTATACGAATCATTTACTACGATTACCTTTTGAATTTCCGGAGAAAATATTTCCTTTGGACCTTTTTCTAACTTATCCATTGCTGGAAAGTTGCTGTAACCACACAAATACATAATGATTAATGATATATTTTATGTCTACAAATTTTTACGCTCATGGATAATATTTATTTGTATCATTATATGGTATATTCCAAAACCATATTTTATATTACTTGTTTCATGATTTCACCTTTTATGTAACTTAATTTTAATGTTTATAAATTCAGGGTAAAATGTTATGTATTTTCTTAAAGTGATTATCAAAGTTATTTTTATTGCGGTACATTAGTATTATTTACAGCAAGTTTCAGCACATTTAAAAATATTTCGTTCTTTTCAATTAACAGTACTTTTTTTAAACTTAGATTATACTTTTATTTATAGGTAATATCATAATTATTATTACTTATCTGGGACGGACATTGATCTTTTTCCTTTTTTGGAATGTCTTAGATGATGGGGTTCTAGTTAAATTCATATTTTAATAAAACGTAAATTTGTGCTATGAAATAATAATATAAGTATGATTTTGAAAAAAAATAATACACGTTATATAAATCTTGGTTTGGAAACATTATGAGCGCAGACAGACATGTTTTGGCAAGATGATATATATACCATTAAATATTATATGTTTATTCTTTCATACGATATCGTATTTTATCATATAATCACAAATAATTTGTTTTATACTTAGTCTTAAATTGTTTAAACAAGCGTATTTTTTAATTAGTTATACTATAAATTATACAAGTTTTATAATTCAATTTTCGAATAAACTAAATGAAAACTAGAAAGTATAGTATTGGTAGTAATTTAGAGCTGATAAAATAGTGGTAAGTATAATTTTTTTTTTTAGTATACTGAATAACTAACTGAAATATAACCAACTTTCTATATTTAATAATAATGAAAGAAATACATTATTTTTATTTTTATGAGTTATTTCTAATTTTTCCGTTTCACTGTAAGATCGTGTATAACTACGTTATATTTAATGAAGGAATCTTTATTGTGGTGGTTTTTTTTTTTTTTTTTGGGTGGAGGAAGGAAGATAGGTATTATATAAGAAATAACAATGAAAAATTTTTTTATTACACTGTTTTTAAAATAATCAAGTTTGGTATCTTATTTCAGTCTGCTAATTATATTATTATATTCAAGCTATATATTGTGCTGTTTCAAAACTTCTGTCTGTAATTAATTATAGTACAATGATGAAACACAAAAAGTTCATTTTTTTTTTCAAATAAATAAATAAATTTGACATTTTCTTTTTCAATTATACATTGTACACCCGTTATCGGTGTAGATGGTTTTCGCAAAAGTGCCTAAGCGAATTATTGAAGATAGAATCGACAAAAAATAATAATTAGTATCGCAAATAACTCAATAACATCGATAGCTACATGACTGCATATATCTTATATTTATTATTGGTGATTATATTCTTTTGTACAATGGCCATTGTATGTGTAAAATATACACGTATAAACCCATATTAATATTATTATTAAGGTTAAAATGTTAACGTTCCGAAAGTCACAAAAACAAAAAAATATTGAAATCATTTAAATATCTGAAAATTGTATTTTATTTAGCTTAAAAATGCGAAAACTACACGGTTATTTTTATATTATATTATTTGTAAAAATTTATAATATTATATCTTATGATAATGTTTTTTTTTATTATTATTATATTTTTATATAAATTCAAGATATTTTTAATAATAATATAAAATGTCATCAGTGTAGAATATAACATATACCTAGTTAATAAAAACTTTTAATATTATTATAATTACTAAAAAAAAAAAATAATTTGAAAGTCAATAAAAATAAAAATTGCATCAAATCAGTATACAATTCAATTTATGTAACTAGAAACATATTTTCCTTTACGTAGTAATATTTTAATTCGTTAAAAAAGTATAATAAAATCGCAATAAAATTCCATTCTTGATGACTTAATATTATATAGTGATATGTATAAAAAAAAAATATTAAAATAATAATTTAATATATCTACTGTGTGGATGTGTCCCCGTAGGTATATTATAATATATTACATACTTTTATGAACAGTATGAAATATCATACGACAAATACAGCAAAACGGACGCCAACGATCACTGTGGTAATGATAACACGTGTTGTCGTCGTAGTTTTCGCTATTCAATTACTTAACTTTCGATACAATCCTTTCCGACTTTACTTCGCCGAGCAAAATGCGTACGATAACCACAACACACATATATAAACTTGCTTAGACCTCAACGTCACCGGCCGATCGATCAACACGTCGACGTCCGTTTATTGCTCGCGTAATCCGTCTTAGTTTTTACCGCGCGCTCGACCGGTTTCCTCAGTCGGTGGCGTATCGTATGGGAAATTTAACCCCAACATCGTAGACAGGGTTAAAACAATCCATTAATATACCTCGGAGAATTGTAAAAAAAAAAAAAAATATGGTAATAACAACATCCATTTTATACGATGGACGATGACATGGGCCAGTAGTATTATATTTTTGTATGTATATGTTTATACCGTGCACATAGCGTATGATTGAACACTACTCGCTGATACGACAATGATATTATTATACTTTATTATTATTGTGATACATTTTTTCTAACACGATTTTCATTTGGAAAACAATATTTTATTTCTCCTCAACACATATCGATCTTTATATATTTTTAAAATTGTATTAAAATTGTATAAATTATTTTTAGTTGACTATTTTATTTTTAACTCTCAAAGAAAAATAATTTTTGCGATAAAACATATTTTATTTGTTAGAAAACTCAACCCAATTGTTTAAAATACGAGGTATATCCAGAAAGTAAGTTCCGTTGGGCAATAAAAACATGTAAATGTGTAAATTTTATTATAAATTTTATTTGAATATAAAATACATGTATTACTCTATTTTTCAACATAGTTACCACCATTATTTAAGCACTTATCATATCGAGGTACTAGTTTTTGTATCCCTTCATCATAGAAAGATGACGCCTGTGATTGTAATCATGCGCTAATAGCCTTTTTCACCTCATCATCTTCGTTGAAGTTCTGGCCACCCATAAATGATTTCATGTGTAAAAAAAGATGAAAATCACTGGGTGCCAAATCTGGACTGTAGGGCGGATGATTAAATTGTTCCCATGCAAAATCTGCAAGAAGTTGTTTTGTCACATTTGCTGTGTGCGGGCGGGCATTGTCGTGCATGGGAACAATTTAATCATCCGCCCTACAGTCCAGATTTGGCACCCAGTGATTTTCATCTTTTTTTTACACATGAAATCATTTATGGGTGGCCAGAACTTCAACGAAGATGATGAGGTGAAAAAGGCTATTAGCGCATGGTTACAATCACAGGCGTCATCTTTCTATGATGAAGGGATACAAAAACTAGTACCTCGATATGATAAGTGCTTAAATAATGGTGGTAACTATGTTGAAAAATAGAGTAATACATGTATTTTATATTCAAATAAAATTTATAACAAAATTTACACATTTACATGTTTTTATTGCCCAACGGAACTTACTTTCTGGACGTACTGTGTACGTAGCTATAATTAATAATTATTTATTCTATAAAAAAACTTTATTTCTCCTACCTTCTTGGCTCTGGTTTTCAAATACCAATAATCAATACTTCGCTTATTGAACATAACAAACGAAGTACAAACAAATTAATCAATTGAAACCACTTCTCGTAAATAATGTCAAAACAATTCTAAGAATGTTCTAAAATATATACTGATGCTTCCCAAAACCACAACGAGGTAGGTTTTTCAATGATCACTGACTAGGAAAACCACATTTTGCGATTATCACCCTACGCTTGTAAATTACAGCTGAAGCCTACGCCATATACAAAGCGCTTAGAATTATTTCATTTTTTAATTCTAATAAATGTAGTTTTATTAAAAGTGATTTCTTGAGCGCTTTTATACTAATATCCAATACATACCCGAAAAATAAACTAATCCAACATAAACAAAAAATAATTACAGGAACTAATAAATCGATATCATTCATGTAGTAAATAATTTCATCTTATACCTAGAAAAGAGAAAGCAGAGACAATAGCCAACTATTAGCAGCCTGTCGTGATAATCAAAATAGTAACATTATCAGAGATACTCGACATAATTTAAAACATAACTAATAAAGAATGGTAGAAATACTGCAACAAATTACCCCTTTCAAAAAAAAACTAAGAAACACAAAACACGATATTAAAAAATGAGATTTCTCCCTGAAATAAAAATAAAAGAGGAAATAATCATTACTCGAGCACAAATAGAACACACTCAAATTACCCACGCACATCTTATCAGTAATGATCCAGTTCCAATATGTGACGTAGGCAAAAAAAATCTAATAATAGACCATATAATGACTACCTTCCCAAAATACTCAGAATTCAGAAGCCTATCAATTTCTCAACAGCCCATCCTCAATACAAAAAACTCTCAAAAAAGAAAACATCATAGCAATTTATAAATTGTTTAACATTATAAAATTAAGTGCCAAGTTTCTTAATAAAAAAAAAAATTAAGTCAAAAATTGAAAAAAATGTATCCAATATTTTTATATTTTTTTTTATTTTAATTTTTTTCCTTTCTCATAACAATGTAACTTATAACCTGTAATTAATTAAAAAAAAAAATAAGCTAAAAATTTATGTAGTTGAAGTCTTAATATATTTAAAAAAAATAGAAACGTTAATTTATCTCCTATTCAACGTAAAGTTGTCTTTTGTATACCTATTATGCTTAATAATGTTGTTTATTTTGTTTTTGAAATTATAAATTTCTCGATGGATTATGATAAAATGTTACAGCTTTGTGTTTATTTACCACTGTTTAAGTTGACAGATTGTCATTTTTTCTTACTATTCGTTCATTTCTGTTCCACTCTTTTCTATTTCAATATTACCGTATTAAATTTCAACGACAACGTTTTATTCGTAAAATAATATAACTTTAATAATTTTCCAGTCTCGGGTCGCGACGAGATTATAAAATAATAA